TGTCTCACCTACTTTGGTCATGTTGTCAGAAGGAACCATTCCCTGGAGAAGGATATCATGCTTGGTAAAGTGGAAGGTCAACAAAAGAGGAAAAGGCCCTCAACAAGATGGATTGACACAGTGGCTACAACAGTGGGCAAAGATATAGCCAGAATCATAGAGTTGGCCCAGTGTTTCATTCTGCTGTACATAGGGTCGCTATGAGTCAGAGATGATTCAACAACACCTAACAGCAACTACTATTACAGAATTGTCTCTCTTCTTTCAATTCAGTTGGTGTTTGCTTTATGTGTTTTGGAGCTCTTGACTCTTTCATCCTTATATAATGTCTTTCCTTGTCCTTTATGCTGGTTTTCACCTTGAAGTCTTTTTTTGTCAGAAATGAATGTTGCCATTCCTGCTCTTTTTTGGTTGCTGTTAGCTTGATTTGTTCCTGCATCCCTTGATTTTCAATTTATCTTCATCTTTGTGTCTAAGGTGTGTCTTGTAGGCAGCATATTGATGAATCTTGTTTTCTTATCAGTTCTGCCATTCTCTTTATCTTGACTCATGGATTTAATCCATTTACATTCAATGTAATTAATGATAGGTATGAATTTATTGCTGTTATTCTTTTGTGTTTTTTACTGTGGTGTTGGTAGTTACGTTGTTCCAAATATTTTTCCCTGCTGAATTCATTTTGTTACTGGTTTTCCTTTCCCTGTCCTCCTCTGTTGATTTTGTGTTTACTAAACCTTTGTGATTTTTTTCTTTTTTATTTTGGTTAGAAGGTTTATTAATTTTCCTTGTAGTTACAGTGTAGTAAATTTTTATCTCCCTAAGTTTGGAAAAGCAAATGGAAGAAATGACAATATAAAAGAATTGAACCAAAGATTTCAAAGAGCAGCTCGAGAAGACAAAGCCAATTACTGTAATGAAATGTGCAAAGACCTGGAGTTAGAAAACCAAAAGGGCAGAACACGCTTGGCATTTCTCAAGCTGAAAGAGTTGAGGAAAAAATTTAATACTTGTGCTGCAATATTGAAAGATTCGAAGGGCAAAATATTGAATGATGCAGGGAACATCAAAAGAAGATGGAAAGAATACACAGAGTCACTGTACCAAAAAGAACTGGTCAGTCTTCATCCATTTCAGGAAGTGGCATATGATCTGGAACCAATGCTACTGAAGGAGGAAGTCAAAGTTGCAATGAAGGAATTGGCAAAGAACAAGGCTTCCGGAATTGATGGAATACCCATTGAGATATTTCAACAAACAGATGCTGCACTGGAGACACTCACTAGGTTATGCCAAGAGATTTGGAAGACAGCTATCTGGCCAACTGACTGGAAGATATCCATATTTGTACCCATTCCAAAGAAAGGTGATCCCACAGAATGTGGAAATTATAGAACAATATCATTGATATCACACACAAGTAAGATCTTACTGAAAATAATTAGAAACAGTTGCAGCAGTATATTGACAGAGAACTTCCAGAGGTTCAAGCCGGATTCAGAAGAGGACGTGGAACAAGGGATATCATAGCTGCTGTCAGATGGATCTTGGCTCAAGGCACACACTACCAGAAAGATGTTTACTTGTGCTTTATTGACTATGCAAAGACATTTGATTGTGTGGATCATGACAAGTTATGTCACATTGAGAAGAATGGGAATTCCTGAACACTTGATTGTATTCATGAGGAACCTGTACCTTGACCAGGAGGCTGTCCTTCAAAAGGAACAAGGGGACACTGCATGGTTTAAAATCAGGAAGGGAGTGTGCCAGGATTGTAACCTTTCCCCCATACTTATTCAATCTATATGCTGAGCAAATAATCCGAGAAGCTGGACTATATGAAGAAAAACGTGG